TACAATGACTGCTGTCGCATGTCAACGACCCCACCCATAAATAATTTTCGTCCCTGGCCAAAGGGTTATCAAGCTTTGCATGTAGCGACACTGAGAGCTAAGGCTACAAGACCACGGAGAAGTTCGTCCGTCGCCAGCCTGAGGCGGTCTTAAGATATCGGAAAAAGGATCAAATGGTCCTCCCACCTCGTCGAAAGTAACGGTGAGGCAGCACCTGATCATTGAGAAGCATGTCACGCGATGGTGCGCAACCGTCCGAACAAAAGCAGGTTGACTCGCCAATCCCATTGTCTTCACACTTCAGATAGCTTTCAGATCAATACGAAGGGCCTGATAGTCACAGGCTTGCCGCGGATGCGATCTGTCTTGTGACATTGTGCGAACGTGCTCGGGCTCCTCAGATTCGATTGGCTGAGGGGGTCTGGCAAATCGAGAGCACCGATGAATCACAAGTAGAGCAGCAAGTAGACTCAAATCATACAGCTGACGTGACAGTGGCCCAGTGGATGCCATGGCGCAAAACTACTATGACATTCTCGGAATCACCCGAGATGCAACTGCCGAGGCCATTGTTGCCAGTACTTTGATCGTGTAAACAAAAGCTCTTTCCTGTGTCAGGAAATCAAGAAAGCTTACAAGAAGGCTGCATTGACTCATCATCCAGACAAGGCCATCCACTAGACAACTGCAGCCCCGTACAGTAACCTTACGATAAGCTGGCAGCAGATGTCTGAGGGTGGAGATCCGGAGAAGTTCAAAGAATGCGGCGCCGCTGTGGAGACACTTACTGACGATAGGCTCGCATTTGCATGGATTTGTTGGCTCAGCTGTTGCACCGGAGTGACTTGCGGTCAGGAAGCGTGCCGCATACGATTCAACGCTGATCCGTCTGCGCTCGAAGGATGGGCTCGGGAGTGGCAGCTCAGACCGAAACGAAATACGCAAGTGTTTCGGACTCTCAACCAACCATTTCATTCGGCCAGCTCAGATGCTGTAATCCTGCCTGCTCACGAAGTGTGAGAGCAAATCCTGCCCTCAAAGAGGGTTCGGGCTGTCCTCGTGAGCGGGTGTCCATGCAATTCTTCCGACGTTAGACAGGCCTAACAAGCCGGTCAAGGCCACTGGAGACGTCTGTCCGCGAGAAGCAGTTTTGAGCCCACGTTGCGAACGGCAGTTCAGGTCCTTTTCGCTTCAACCGCGATGCTTCCATGGAGCGGCCAGCAGCACGGCCGGCGCCACCAGCGCCGCCAGCTGCAGGAGCCAGCGAAGCTCTGCACGCCTCTACCAAAGCGCAGACATGCTCTCTGCATCTACATCTGCTCTTCTTTGGTGTGCATGCAGCATGCATGTTTTCAGCTTCCACGCGGGCGCCCAGCGCAGCGGCACCTCCAAAACCGCGGGCGCCGAGTGGTGCAGTGGAAATCCCTTCTGACCCAGGCTCGGTGCTTTTGCATGATCCGAATTATCATGTGTTCAGTCTCAGTCCATGGGAAGGCAGTCTCTCCATCAAGGAGCTCAAAGAATTGCTGACAGCCCTGGGCATCGATCATGACGGCTGCCTCGAGAAGGCTTGCAAAGATAAGGCTTTGTTCTCCTGTCTGTCGCCGGCGCTTGCGCCATTCGCAAGGCAGACCTGTTGACACTTCTTCGGGACCGGAAGGACTTGATCGAAGGGCAGTGTAACTGTGAGAGCACTTGAGAACGACACCAGTGACTACTTTGAAAGGAGCGTCGAGCAGGTGGGCTGTGAACGGCTGTCGATGCGACGGATGCTTTTTGAAGACAGATCGCAGATGCAGGCGATACCCCAAGAGAGGCGCCCTCAGCATCTGCTTCTGGAAGACCACAGGCGCCTTGTCGTGGCACAGGTCCCGGGGTCCTTTCGTCTGTCGCAACTGCAGACATGCAATGAGGCCCAGCCCGCAAGCTCGGCAAGCTCAACGCAGTCATCTACTGGTGCTAAAGCTCTGCGTGTGAAGATCATGTCCATAGGCCTCGTACTCTGCGCCTGTTAAAGACCATTTTCGGGATTCGGAATGATGACTACTCGGCCTATTGAAAGTTGCCGGGCTGGAGGCGAGCAAACCATCAAGAGCGCCGGGGGGCTGGGTGGTAGAAGACAAGTCGAACATGAAATCCGAGCGACTTATATGCCATTGCCATAGAACGCAGCAAGAAGTTCAGGCTGCAGCGGTCCATCATATGTACATAGTAGGGACATGCCGTCTATGAGGTAGCGATGTCAATCCTGGCCGCAGGTTGCGCCACTGTTGGGAAGAGCACGCTCATCAAGAGATACTGCGAGAACCGGTTTGTGCAGAAATACATTCCAACCATCGGCATCGACTACGGCGTGAAGCCTGTCCGAGTTCTGGGGCACGAGTTGAAGGTAAACTTCTTCGACACGTCAGGACCACGACTTGTACCTCGAGTGGTGCTATCTCATGGGTATCGTACTGGGGAACAGGGGGTTTGGCTCAAGTCACTTTGTTGCGGGTCAGGCATTCCAAGGTGGCTGGGATGTATGCATCTCTGACGTCAGTGTGGCAGGAGGTGAAGAGTTCCGGGACATTCGAACTGAATTCTATTCAATGGGTCAGTCAAACGAACCCCGGCGGCAATCTTTGGTTTCTTGTTGCTGGTGATGCTGCATGACTAAGCTTGAGGGAGAAGGAGTCCTGGGGAGAAGGAGTCCTGGGGCCGACATCTGAGGCGGTGCTGCTCGTTTTTGACGTGACGAACCGAAAAAGTTTTTCTGAGCTTCCCGCCTGGCTTGAGGACAGCCGTTTGTGTGTAACCTGACGTGGTGCTACAGCAGCAAACATGAACACCATGGAACTCACGCTGAACGAGGAGGCAAGTCGACACCAGTGCTCTCTGTTGCTTGGCTTGCTTTTGTAGGACCCAACCTCAAGCTATATACCTGGTCTAGAAGTTGCGAATGAGGTCTCGCTCGGAGAAGACATCGACAGGTCCTCCAGCAGTGGCGCTCTGCGCCAACAAGGCTGGTTTGAGAGGATCTCTTGTGGCATTCCGATGTAAAGTCTTCTGACAAGTTTTGCCGGTTTTTACTATCGCACCCGGCCACTCCAAGTGCCAAGACTGGAAGCCATCAGCGTGAGCTCCCAAGTCCTCTCCGCGGCCAGGTTGACCTCGGAAGGAGAGTGGTGACAAGGGCAGAGGGCGAGGAGTTTGCCATTGCGCATGGCATGCGCTACTTTGAGACCTCTGCTGCAACCGGCGATGCTGTCACGGATGCCATGCATTACCTCTTTGAGCAAGCAGTGCTGCTTGGACCTGGTGTTGGGAGTGTGTTCTTCTCTTTTTTTCAACCTTTCTTTAGCGAATCGCTGACGCACCTCTGTCCAGTGCCAGCGTTAGGCATTATGTCGTGATGCATCCCAGGAGCCACCATTTGGAGTTGGGCCGAAAGCTGCTCTGCTGCATGTTTGAACTTCTACAAGGTCATGCATCGTGCATGCTCCCACTACTGACGCAGTCCCGAGGATAGCGATGGCTGCTGGCTGATCAGCAGCTTTCAATGCAAGTCACATCCTAGCGGTTTGCATGCCATCCCTTGCAACTGTTTTTCGGTGGCCGACGGCGGTTTGGCAGATGGCCCCGCAAATGTCTGTGCTGTGGGATTAACATGGTCACCACATTGCCCCGTCTCACCCGTTGGCAGCCAGCTGCCCAAAGAGAAACTGCGCTTCAGCACTTGAGCAGAGCGGCTGTTGAGCACACATGTGCAGCCACCTCGTGAAATACAGTTGCACCCGGCCGAGCGTCTCCAACCCTTCTTGCACAGCCAAGTGCCTCCAGTGCGCAGTCCGGAAGGAGCCCCAGCTTCTTGTTTTGTCGGTTTCAAGTGTAAGCTCCGCGCTACCCGTCAGAAGAGCCAGGTGCCCTGCCATGGCCGGCCGAAGAGCTTCGCTTTTGTCTGCCTTCGCAGCAGGCTCGGTGCTTGGGAGCCTTGTGTCATGATTCCTGGTTTTGGTGTTGGCTGCGCAGGCGCTGTGATGCATTTGCTGATGAGCAACACCGTGTTCGTGCAGCCTGGACCAGGATCTGAGAAGTGCTGGTAACAGGTACACCATGTCTAGGTGTAGGCACCGTGATTCCAGCAGGTCGTAGTTCCGTTTACCTTTCCTTGCCTGCCTACCTCTTGGAGTTCTGAGAACACAGGACATCTGCAGACGTCACGAATCCTGCGTCCGGCTTTTGAGCAAGGAAAGGTGAACCTGGGCGTGGATGGATCGGCAGCTCGGTGCAATTTTGCCGGCATCGCACGTCGTGTAATTCACTTCAGCGGCAGGTCGTGAAGTCCAAGAACATGCCCGCACCGGTTCTAGAGGCGACAGAGGCAACAAACACTGCCATCAAGGACCGCATGGTATACGGGCGGCCTTTAACCTATTCGCTTGTGCTTCCTTTCTGCCCTCGGAAGGAATGCTTGGACGAAGGCTGCTCCGTTGATGCTTTGATGGAGTTGGACAAGAAGCTTGCCAAGGATGAGGAGCTGCGGGGCGAAGAGCGAGGGAAGCTAGAGCTGGCAGTGGGTATTCATAGCCGTCCAGTCAAAGTCCTCTCCACGTGATCTCCGTGAGTTTCCCGGCAGTGGCACAGGCGACCATCAAGAAGAGCCTCGATGATCTGCACAGCTCGCAAGCGGAAGAGTACTCGGAGGCCTTGCTGCTGAGAGCCACCGGGTTGCAACATGGTGCAAGCATGTGCAAGCTTTTGGGAGGAAGGCAAGGAGCAGATTGCCTGGCTGAGCCGCTTCGAAGCAAGCCTGTCTGTAGACCTCGCGTGTGCATGTTGCAGACATTCGTTCGCAAAGGCAATTACTTGGACCGCAGTGGAAGCCTCCGCGCCCAACTCCAGGCAGGTGAGAGCCTTCCTATGTTCAGAGTATTGTGCAAAGTACAGAAAGGTTGCACTTCAACCAGGCATCCCCGCTCAGTGCCTCAACTTGGGTAGTGTTCCTCTGTCCTGGGGCCACGCGATCTGACCGCGTTAGTGAAGTGTGTGATCCAACCTTGATGCGTATGCTGTATGCATCAGCAAGATGGTGTAATGGGGTTGTCCGTGCCACAAGTCATCCGTCGCATGTATATCGCCACTTCTTCCGAGACCAGTGCAGGAGTAGCCATATACTCGATTCATTACGATATCATCAGCCCTAAAAATCGACACAGATTCCCTTGTGGACCAGTTCTTCGTAGGCTCATGTGCATTAGGTCGTATTCTTCGGAGAACTGAATCCTTGGATAATTTGCTGGGCTAGCCGGAGTGTTGCAATGTAGTACCTATCAGGAAGGGCTAGCAAGCACCTGCCAGCATGACAAATTCTGCATCGCGTTCCTGATTGTCGTAGAAATTCTCAGTGCAGACGAAAAGAGACACCTTCAGGAAGTGGGCAGGGTGCAGGTGTCTCCAATTTTCGACTGAAGCATGGTGCCCGTAAGGCGCAGGTGCAATGAAGAGAAGTCCATCTTGCGAGCAGTTACCCAACACAGCAAAATGTTCCCTGAGGCAGTCAAGACCTTGAAGGCCGAGGGAGACTTGGTTGCCCAGCTCGTGCGCGCTGCGTCAGTGGCCTTTGGCGGAGGGCGCAAGGGTGACTATCCCAAGGCCCAAATTGGCGGGTGCACCGTGCGCGAGAGGTTGTCTGCAGCTTCCAACTTGTGCAGGTTGGTGTGTCTCCATATTCTTCATGAAGCTTGAGGCCCTGAGAGGCTGCAGCGACATTTTTGCCAGTGTACGGGGTGTCTAGGCAAGACCTTTACCTTTGGAACTGTCGAAGAATTGGACACTCCCCTGCGCTTAGATGACGAGACTTCTTGCCGTGAGACGGCTGGCTTTGTTGAGTTTTTGTGAAAGATACTGTACGTAGTGCTCTCATCTATGGGCCGGCTCCGAAACGGACAAGGATTTCGCAGCCCTAGTTTGGCATGAGGCACAGGCCGCACGGGTGCTAGGAGAACACGCATGTTTAGGTCGGGCCTTCAAAACTTGGGCTGCATGCTTTCTAGGTCGATCGTATTGCGGCAACATCGAAAAGCAGCGAGCGATGTCCATGCCCAGAGCTGCCTCGTATGACCTTCACCTGTCATTGCGATATACTGCGATTCTTACGAGCTCAGGTTGATCGATTTGCACCAGATGTCGTTCACGCAGATAGCAAGTATGGGCTTCAAACAGAAGATGCAGTGGCTTGTGGTGGAAACCACTTTCCAGCGCGCCTGCGGTTTCATGTTTACTGGGCTTCGTTTGTTTCGACCTCCACCTTTCCGGGCGTTTCGGCACAGCACTGCTTTGCATTGTGGTGTTTGAGCCTCGTGAACTTGGAAGGCGCCCTAAGGCGCCACACTGAGTTTTATGAACTGCTTCCTGTCGAAGAGCGATTTAACGCGCGGCGCGCGCTTGGCTGAGGAAAGATGGCTGCGAAGCGCAGTCTGCGGCTGCTGCCTCTCGCAGTCGCAGGTCAGTATTGCTAAGCACACTGCCGGCACCTTCTACTTTTCGCAACCGGCGGCCCCTGAGCTTGGTTCAGGCGTGTTGTGGCTCTGCCGGTCATCCCTTTCTCTTCGAGGTCCTCGTGAATACCGGGCCCTGCGGACCTTGACCTGTGTGTTTGCGCCAGGTGCTGCAGCACCCTTGTCTTTCGCCTTCCCAAGGCCTTCGCTTTCACTTTCAGCGTCGTATCCTGTTTTGGTGTTGCCAGTGTTGCCGTAGGGCCAGAGATGCTGAGAAGATGCGATTAGCCAAGTACGAGACCGCCGGTGCCTTAGCTACGACGTTCAGACGGGGTTAGGGGCCTCGGCGCTCACACGACACAGATGTATTTCTCGGCTTTAGTGAACCAGGCAGACGGCAACCCAGTCAATGCGCTGCAGCTCGGAAGCAAGCTTTTAGAAACTTTAGAGTTTTCGAAGTTCGGACGAGTGCAGTTTTGTTGTCATTTCAAATCTTACTCTGATGCTGTTCCTCTGAATGCTGTTACTCTGCTTCTCTACGACCCTCTACGTTCTCCACGGCACAAGTCACAGCCAGCATGTCTTTAAGAAAGTGCTCATGGGAAGAGACTGGCAAATAGCAGGCGCTGCTGGAATGCGTAAACTGCTGAGATTCCGCGGGCAGCCTATCCTGTTGAACTTGAGCACTTTCAGGGCAAGAACTCGCCACAATACCTAGACAAGTATAGTATCTGCAGAGCATTTAGTCTCAAACTTGTTGCTTGAATTTGTTGGGCCGGTCGAAGCCCTGCAGTTGTTGAAATGATGAAGGTACGAAGAGTCTGCATATTCCCTGCCTGTGATGCTCTGCAGGGATGTCGAGTTGCCCACTCTTCACCTGCCATTCCGGCGTATGGCTAGTTGTGTTGTTCCAGTCCCTGGAACTGGGAGACAGCATGCGACGGGGAGCATGCTGCATCGAAAACTGGTCTTCTGTTTCTGTTGAGAGAACAGGTGTCGCGAAAGTTTGCCATAACCCACGTATGATGACTTTTGGAAGGTCGGTCGCGGCTCATCTGGAAACCGGCAGCCCACAGTCCACAGCCTCTTAGACCCAAAAGCCCAAAGGCAAAATGCGTACCCGAGTCATGGGCAGCGCAAGGGTTTCGAGCCCCTACTGCTGTGAACGTAGCTGCACATCGGAAGACTTCTTTGTTGCCGATCGCGGATTCCCGGTGGCTTTATTTAGGCGACCAAACGACTTTGAAGGTTGCTACGGTGTTTTTTTAATCTAGGCTGTCGAGGCCTTTGACATTTGCCAGACTACCCCTAGCAGAACACAAATTGCAACCATACGGTCCAAACTACACGAGAGCTAGGGGCAATCGAATCGAGAAGCGCGATGCGCACATGCCGAATCGCAGTCGTTGGATGTAGTCGAGAAGATGCCGGCGGGTGGGGGCGATAATGCGGTAGCAGAGGCAGTCGGATGTGACCTGACTTGAGATGTTCTGAAAGCTTTTTCCGTTTGATTTGCACCCGTTTGTTTGTAAGTCACTGCATGTGTGTGTGTGTGGTTGTGTTAAGCGACGCCGGGGCTCCTGCTTTAGTGGTGCGCGAAAGGTTGAAGCCACAGAAAGACGAGGACGAGGACAGCCAGGAGGAAACCACAGAAGAAAAAGTGAAAGCGGGTGCTGTGGCTTGGCTCGGTTTGTTGGTTCTCAGAGTCAACAGTCTTCCTCGTCAAGCCATACTGAGATTCTATCGTCCTACGCTTTGGCCTTCGTGCCGCTCGGACAACGGCTGCTCAGAGCCCCCAGTTCGAAAAGAGCACAAATCTTTCTGGCGGGTTTTGCAACAAAGGATCCCGTTGGCCTTCCTGGCGGCCGTCATCCTGGGAATTTGGACGCCTGGCACCGACGTGGAAATCGGAGTCGGGGCCTTACCCGTCAATGCCCTTTTGTGTGCCGCTCAAAACGGGTGTCAGTCCGTTAACTAATAAAGCAGGCGTCGAAGAGTTCCCCCTATCGCAGCATGGGGGCGATCTCGCGGTTTGACGACGAGATGGACAAACAAAGGCCACCCGCCGCATGATGCATGGTCTGGTCCGAGACATTTTTTTGCCAGGAGAGACTACGAGAATCGTCCAGAAAAGGAGTACTGAGACGCCTCGAAACACAGTTTTTACGTGTCCGTCTGAGCATGAGCCTGGCGGTGGTTCCGATAATGGTGCTGTGCCGCAAACCCGCACGTGTGTGCCTGGCATGTGCCAACAGTCGACTTTATGTGCCGTGCGCGCACTTACTCCTGCTAAGCCGTATGTAGACAGGTAGCATTTCTACATCTTTCGAAGATCCCTTTTCGCGTGCCACAGTTGCAGCTCTTCTGACCCAGCTACCGGTGTTCGTGCTTCGAATTCGGAAGTCGACCGGATCAGCTTGCGCCTGCGCAGGGTAACCTGGAGCAAAAACGTAGCCGATTTTGCGTGAAGCTGTGCTACCATTGCCAGCGAACGAAGCATTGACATGGTCGTGTGTTGAGCAAGACGGGACCGCAGCCATTCTATGTCATGCCACACCTAAGAGGATCTTAAGAGGCCTCAGGGCACTCCTTCTGGATGCATGGAGAGCAGCGCTGGCAATGAAGCTGGCAATGAAGTTGGCTTGGAGCCGGATGGACGTCAACACCAGGACGTAATCGCAGAGCCTATTGCAACCCAACTACAGTTGTTGACGAAGGATGAAGGCCGACGGACAGACAGACTTGCCAAAGAGCGAGTTCGGCAGATGTACTTGGGAAGTTGCATGTTGCCCGTCTCAGGCCCTGTGACATGCAATGTTTGCCGTGTGAAGCAAATCCCGAGGCTTCGCTTCGGCAAAGCTTGGCGCCATTGCCGACGACTGCCGGCATGGCAGCGCTTCCTGCTGTACCTTGGTTTCTCTTTGTCCAGACCTCGACCTGTTCCCGCTTTGACTCTGGATTTTTGTCTTCCGTCCGCTCGCTATCTACTGAGATTCTCAGGTGGTGCGTCGCTTGGTTGGCCTTCTTGCAGCTTGCCGATTCTGGGAGGCCCTAGTTGACTCCTGTCTTTGTTTCTTGTCTGTCCTCATAGTCGGCCATGGGGAACAAGGGTTCGCTCCATTCATTTGATGTACGCGAGGGGGGGTGGGGGGGGGGGGTGGAACAGTCCATGCCTCGTGGGTGTGGGGGAGCTCTGCCCGCCGAAGCTCCCTCCCACACCCTCCATGTCATATGGTTTCCGTCACTATGATTTAAGGCCCTTATCATCATCATCATCGGTTTCACTGTGGCAGATGAGTTGATCAACTCGCAGGCATGATCGCCACGGGTTTCCGTCATGTGTGTTGGCGCTTGTTGGGGGCGGTCGATACACATGTCGATCTGCCACCCAGCTCCGATCACTGTTCCAATGCAGTGGTGGATTGCAGGGAAGAGTGGTTCCGATCGACGTGCGATGACTTGGAATTCATACGCCCGCAGTTTCCGTAAAACCACGGCAGGTCCAGTAAAGCAGCGCATCGTTTTTTTCTCTCATAACAGCGGCTGGGTCTCGGCAGCCATTGTGGCTGCACATTTAGTGCTTCTAGCTGCCTGCCGTCTGTAGCTGCACCCGAACCCCTCAACAGCTGCCTTCCGTGACTAGCCGAAAATCTGGAATATCCAGTCAAATGGCCCTAGAACCATAAAGCGCATGCCATCGCATCGAAACGATGCAGTCTCCGTTTGACTGCAAAACCTGCCATTTCCAGGCCGAAAATCAGGAATATCCTGTCGAATAGCCCTCGAACGATGCAGTCTCCGTTTGACTGCAAAACCTGTCTTTTCCAGGCCAAAAGTCTGGAATTTCCCGTCAAATGGCCGTCGCAGTTTACTCAGTGTGAAATCGTTTCCAGGGAGCGCGCGAAGGATGCGTTATTAAGAGTTTCTTTTTTTTTTGCAGGCGCTTTATAGGTTTTCTTCGGTGTTTATGCCCTTTGTTTTCGTCGGTGTTTCAACCCCATCCCACGTGCGATGGCAACGAGTAGCGCGGCATGTGCACAGGTTTGCATGCGCAGCTGACATGCGGGTATGCGTAGTAACAATGGGCTGGTGCTGGCACCTGTTGCGGGTTGCTGCAAATGACCTTGCGGCTCCTGGCTAAGCCCCGAGTTATAGACGTGGAATCTCCTCGCCCACCAGGGCGCATCTCGGCCACGGTTTGGAGCTTCAGTGGTCGTCCCTGTCCGAGTTTGACGTCCTGGCCACGGTTGTTCTTGGGCGATTTGAAAACGAAGCACTTGGGGTGCACCGCGACCCTCACCTGCCTGGTCGCCACAGACCTCGCCAAGTTCGGCCTGTAATTTTCGCCGCTCGCCAGGTGTGATTTGTCACAGCTCGCTTGCCACGTTTCATGCCAACTTTGTTTCACTCGCAGCTTGACAGCTCAAGACCTGTTCTGCAAGGTCCCAGCACAAGGCCCGCTTGCCCTAGGGTGGCGCAGGTGTTCCCTTCTAGCCGTGCAGTTAAACCAACGGTCCTCGTGAGGAGTGCATCATTGGCCACCTAGTCTGATGCCCACCCACCTGACAAGACCTCTTCGGGACTGGCAGGTGAGGCCTCGGCTCCCTTCCACATCACTGGGTCTGCCTCCTCTTCCTCGGAGCCGCCTCAGGCAGTAACTTTAGATGGATTTATGGTCAGATGCAATGACACAGCTTTTCAAGCTGCCCTGCAGAATGAGTCGACCACCGCTGGCGAGGATAATGAGGCCGAAGCGGATGTGGAGGGAACTGCAGATTCGGAACCCCGTTGCCACACGGAGAAGTGGAGCATTTGGCGACCTTCAAAATAAGAGATCACCCACCGCATGAGCGTGGCTGGCTACATGAAGGCCGACTCGCTCCCAACCTGAGGCCAAGTTCAAGGCTAGAGGGGCTGGGTTTTGTGTGAAGCACGGCGACTTCGCACGAGGCGATGGCGGCCATGCCGACCCTGAGAGGAGAGGAGGCGGGTTCAACGATGGATCGCCGGCTTTGTTGCATAACCACTGTTGTCTTGGGCCGCCCGGTGGGGCATCGCCGGCCGCCTCCTCACCGGAAGGGGCACTTCTCCAAGCCGCTGCACCGACCACGCCCACCGACCACAGCCATCAAGCCGTTCTTTTCACGGGCGGGGGACACTGGTTTCGCAGGCCTGGGCAAGCGCCCGGTTTCTTCTGGACGAACGGCTGGGTTTCGTCCTGGCGACCAGGTTTTCTCCAATTGCGCGACGGTCAGAACATGTCAGAACCGAAGACCTGGCGCCCATCGCTGCGTCTATGTCTTGGAGATTCTCGCCCAAGTCCTTCTGGGTTGCCTTCATTGACGCTGTTGGAGGCCAGTTTACCCGCACAGCCCCCGACTTCCAAAACTACAACAAACTACAAAGCCTAAACTCCCTAAGCCCTGAACCTCGAGCCTCGTATGTTCACTTACAGTAGCGTGCAGTCGTACCAAGAGAACCTCGTCAGGCTTGCCCGAGTTGCAAGAGAGCGGAAATCCCGAAAGAGGAAGCCTAAACTCCGCAAATCCAAAAAATGTTCCTGTAGGAACCCGGCGCGAAATTGCTTCGCTTCCTGAAGGGGGGCGCTCCCCGAGACCCCACGGCATCTTGACACTTGTGGACCAGCCGTATACCATAAATAGAATAAATAGAATATACGATAGCTATATATACATATACATATACATATACATATACATATACATATACATATACATATACATATACATACATACATACATACATATATATATATAGATACACACACACACATATATATATATATGGTACCCCCCCGGCTGGCCGACAAGGCTTGGACTCCCGGCTTCTATCTTCGCGGTGAAGCGCGGGTACTGTGGTGGACGGTGCCGGCTCATTGTAGGGAAGGTTGCAGAAGTGCGAACCCGGCACCGGCACGCCCAGCCGGCGCAATTCGCGCTTCGACCAAAAGCGCAGTCAGCTAGCTTTTGGCTTTTGGTTACTATTATCACATGTCGTTAGCGCCACACTTGCTTGGTAGTGCACGTGTGCGAAGAGGAACAAGCGTCAGCGATCAGCCGCACCATTGTGGCTCGATCGCCTTTTCGACTTCGTGTTGTATCCTCCCTCTTTGTTTAATGTCGATTTCACACACCACCGGCCAGCACTCGCCCCACCTGGCGGTGACCTGAGGAAAAGGGTCGGGCCCCGGTTTTGGTGGGCGGTGAGTCCGGCGGGGCGCAACTCACGCTTCGACCAACAGGACAGTATGGCTGTAGCTTCTGTTTTACATGTCGTTTGCGCAGTGCTTGCATTTGTGTGCGCGTTTGTTGGTTTTACTTTGTGCTGCTGCATGATGGAGACTTCCTGGCGAGCATGTTGCTAAGCATGACGCATGCACAGAGTTCAAATTGTTCAGAAGCCGAACCTAGCAGGTCTAATGGGCCGTCTAGTTGGGCGATGATTGGAGTGACAGGCTCTGCCAAGGCCAGGTAAGCGATCATCTTCGCAGCTTGCACCTGTAAGCTGCATAATGCCTCCAAGGCGGCAGGATCGGAGCCTAGAGGGCCCAGCGTGCTGGTGGAGGCGACATAGTTGCATGTCTTGGAGTTACCCTCAGCATTTGATGTCGACACAAATTGTTGCACAGACTGTGTTTCCAGCTTTGCTGCAATTGCCATGAAGCCAGCGCAGGCTAAGCCGAAGACGTGGAGCAAAGAGCCGAACACGAACCGGCCGTTCGGAGAAGATAAGGACTCTCCGTGTAAACACTTAGCCTTTACATAGCACCGATCGCAACTTAACTACGTTTTCTGCTTGTGTTTCCAACTGATCGACGCGTTGCGCAGGTGTTGCAAGCAACGGGTTTAAAAAAGAAGCTGAGAGGCTTTGTGTGTGCTCCAGAAGCTCTTTCTGATGGGCAGATGACTCTCATCAGTGGGGATCCAGCTACTTCTCTCCTTCCTTGGCTTGATCCACTTCTGCGGAAATCGGTCAACAACATATAGTTTGTGGCAGAACCTGTTCCTTTGTGCTTTGCTCACTGCCGCCTGCAAAAACATTGTAGCTACATGCGGCCAGTAATGTTGAACGCCGTGCGATGGTGCCTTCTGCGCTGTTGTCGAGTAGAGTGTATTCATGTGTCTGCTCCACGCATGATATGCATGATGCGCCAGGAGGCCTGTCTGTTGACTTAGATTATCCGATTTGAGTGGAACATTGCGCGCCAAGGAGCGGTTGCCGTACCTCAAGCGCAGCCCTTTCAAATTGATACTAGCAGCTGCTGTGCGCAGAAAAGCCCGATTGACAGCGAGCCTGAAGATGCCAGCTGCTGTGCAGGACGGAAGGGTCAGAGGTGCAGACAGTACGGCAGAGGAGGAAGAAAATGACGACGATGAGGACGATGAAGACGCAGACGAGGATGATGACGGGGATGATGACGAGGATGATGAGGACGATGACGACGAAGACGAGGCAGGGGATGACGACATCGAAGACAAGCTCGACGAGCAGGACCTGACGTCACGTCAGACGAGGGCTTTGCACAGGGACAGGACCAGTCCAGTCCCTGCCATGAGATTTGCAAGCCCAGAGATGCGAAGATGGGCTGAACCTTGCTCTGATTTCAGGAGAAAATGATCGATAAAGACCGTGGCAAAGAAGAGGACAAGACTTGGAGAGTGAAAGCCGCGAGCTCTGATGAAACCCTGCAGGCCCCGTTCATATCGAATGCGCAAGCTCTTGCCGCATGTAGCAACATTTCTCTGCTTGAAATCCCCATGCGCCCTTTGGGACGAACTGAGCAAAAATCATTGGAAGCAGCCGGGAAGCTCAACGCAAGAACCCGTGGACAACGAAGGTTTGGAGCAACCCCGAGGCTGAGCCTGCCTTCTTTCTGTGAGCTTGAACATATTTCCCCATCGAATAAAGCGTCACTCCTGATCTGTCGGTCCACCACCCGTTCCTCTCAAGATCATGGTTTTGTCCTCGAGCTTGCCAGAAAAATTCCATATAGCTTCCAGAAATATGTGATGGTTTCTCCTTCGTACCCTAGCTGCCTAGAGAGAATCAAGGCTGTGTGCAGGCGACTGGGCAGGTCTTGGTGCGCACTAACAGGCTCAGGCAGAAGGAGCAGAAAGGAGAGAGACGCAAAGCAGAGCCGATGGCAGAGCCTGTTTCCAGGAAGAGGTCGCCTCCATCATGCAAGGAGAGGCCGGGCTTTGCCACCAGGCAGAAAGCTTGCACAGGCTTTCGAGGTGCACTTGTGGAGGCTGGATCTTGCTCGCAGCCAACAAATTCCTCAACTGATGCGCGCGGCTCGTTGTGTTGCAACGGTGCTACTTAAGCACTTTCTGCCTCTAGCTCTTCTTGGTGAGGTTTGTTGCCGCGGCGCCGTGGCGCGGATACAGACCACCGCCAAGCTGAGGATGCTGTGACCTTGTCGTGGTTCTTCGCGGAACAAGGGCTGGTCTGCAGCCGAGCCTAGCAAACTGAAAAGCTTGGCCTGCTTGACGAGGGGCGGCCGGGTCCAGTGTGCTGGAACATTTCCCTTGGAAGCGTGCGTGAACCAAGTGCGCCGTTTGAGATGCACCAGATTCCAGGAGTTCGTATTTGCAATCTCCACGAGACCCGACGAACCTCCAGAGCTGGTGGTCTCAGTTGGCGCCTTCCACAGCAAGGTGGGGGCAGCTTTCGGTGCCACGTCTCGGTAGTGTTGGGAGCTGATGGTAAGGCTGTGGAAGGCGAGTGGAAAATCGAACGGCCTTGCAGGGTCTGCTGTTCCCAAGCAGATTTGTCACGCTTGTTTGGGTTTCTCTCTTGAGAATTTGGTGGGCCGTGCTGGGTAGCTGGAATCTGAGCTTTCTCGGCTATCTTCGTGGTCCTGGCCTTCATAACTCCCTTCATGGGTTTTTGGGTCGCCTCCGCAGCCACCGCTTCCGTTCACGGTGTTGGATGGGAGGGCTTTACAACCCCCCCCCTCCTCTTCTTGGGTTGGACGTGTGTGTGGTGTTTTTTGTTGCTGATCCTGGCTTGGGTCTACATGCGCATGCATGCATCGCGCACAACAGAAGAACTACGAGTGGAATATATGGGAGAAGCACATTTGCACACGTACTGTATACGTATACGTACACGTACACGCATGTGACCGTGCGTGGGTATGATTGTGTGTGTGTGTGTTTAGGCGCATGTGCATGAGAATGTTTGTTTGTATGATTTGTATGTATATGTACACTTACACACTTCATGTGTACGTGTGTGTATATGTAGGTCCTGTAGGTACGTCTGTCTGTCTGTCTGGCTGGCTGGCTGTTTGTCTGTCTGTCTGCATGCATGCATGCATGTATGTATGTCTGTCTTTACGTGGCTTTGTGTGAAAATAACACGTCCTCACCTTCGCCCCGACCTTGCTACTTTGGTGGCTCAAGACACTTTGCTCTCGCAGAGAAAGGCGCATCTGAACTTCAGCGCAACTTTGGTGTCTCAGTTGAGTGAGCTTGTGCACGGATCTACTTTAGAGTAGTTTGGTGCGCATTCTGTACTGGTGT